TCTTATGTGTTTGACTCCTTGCATGTGCTTCCAAATTGAACTCGAGAGCATGAATATTTCCTGCATGCTTAACTCCTTGACCCTAAATGGTGCATACATGTGCCTCTGGCATTTACTCATTTTCTTGAACTGTCTGCTTGGCATGTGCTTGGACTCCTCTGCCATTGATCTTAGCCTTGGGGTTTCCCATTGGTAACCCTGTCTTCCTTGGGGTTTCAACTCTGTAGGAAGAAACCACTTTCTTAGTACCTGGAGTCTGCAATGACTTACAGACTCCTGTTGCTCCCTCTGCCTAGGCCATACCCAGGTTCTTCCGGCCAAGCTACATATTTTTGGGTTGTTCACATAGGCAAGCCAGCCACATCTTCTCCATGGGATCTTTTATAATGAAAACATGGTAGCAAAAACAACAGCTGCAGGCTGTTTCCTGTGAAGAGCCTGGTTCACAGTGAGATTTCTCCACACAATCTTATATGGGAGAAATATTGTGGAAGGCTTGTTGCTGCTTACCTTGGATGTTTTCCTTTAAATCTCCTGCTAAAGTGGGGGTGGGCAGAAGGAAGCAGCAGTTCTACTGGCCCCAGATCCTTATGCTTCTCCACATCTCACTGCTGTATTGCATAGCTGGTTACAAGATGTGATGCAGGGACAGAACCTTTAAAGGAATGGAGGAGACTTACCCTGGCTGCTTCTTCTTCAGATTTGCTTTAGGATAAGAGATAGTTGTGGCTGAATGAGGAAAATGAGACAGATGGGGCATAACAGTTATGATGATTAACCAGCTCTGAGGAGTCACCTAGGCTGGGAAAAACCCTATTTGGCCAGATAGGTTTGATTTTGATTTTACAGCCACAAGTGAAAACATGACATCCTTTGATAAATTAACACCACATTATTGGCCAAGCTGGGCCAGGTGGACCTTTGGGCTCTAGTACCTAAGGCCCAGATTGATTAAGGCCTTTTTTGACACATGTGGAGGGAGATACCTGAAAAGGAGCTGTCCTTTCTGTATATATGTGTGACCGTGGGTGGGTGGGGCTGCATAGGAAGCCATGCAAAAGGACCAACATTCACTCTACAGATCAATCCATGTGCAACTTCCAGCAAGTAGGGGAGGACCAATTTTGTAAGTCTCAAATAGCTTAGCAACCTTTCTGTTGCTAAGGGATCATTTGGGAGTAAGAGCATCCTGCTAGGTAACCTGGGAAGAACCATCACAGTAGTAACTCTAGATTTCTTGGGGAAGATCATCAGCTGGCTTGCAAGTGCAGCTAGAGGCCTGGTCAGTCTTTAGGGTTGCCAAGTGTTACCTTCCTCTGCAGTGGGGGACTCCTGGGCCGGTCACGGAGCGCGCGCCGCATCCACGTCACCAGGAAGTGATGTGACGCCGCCAGGCATGCTGGCACCATAGAGTTTTCCCTTGGATGACCGTGGCCCCGCCCCCAGCATGCCCGGCGTCATCACGTCACTTCCTGGTGACGTGCACATCAGGGCGGAGTTCCCCCCAGGGCCTGATGCGGCGGCGGTGGGGAACGGACCTCTGGGGCGGGGGTTTCCCCGCCCCTCGGGGGGACTTGGCAAGCCTATCAGTCTTTCTTAAGAGTGGAGATGACTTGTCTTCCAAAAGGTGCATACCAAGCTGCCTGCCTGCATTCCTCATCAGGCTATATTACTGCATCTGGACTGTGTTCCCTAAAACCTGAATCAGGTGGTTTTATGGAGGTTTGCATAAATACCTGGAGAAGGTTTGGGGTCAGGGTATATGAAGGACTGTTTCCTCCTGTACAATCTACCCTGCCAGCTGAAATCCTTCTCCAAGTCCTGCAGAGGCAAGGCAGCCAGAGACAGGGTTTTTTTCAGTAACGGTGCCTTGCCTTTGTAATACCTTCCCCTGACACCTACTTTATTGTTTGTTAGCTGCCAGGTAAGACATTTATCTTTCTTCAGGCTTCTAATGGAAGGGCTAATCTTTTAAAGCTGTCTTTATGACCTGCGTCTACCCTGAGGTGTAACGGATAGAATTTGAAGCTGCAGAATATTGTTTTATCTGCTTTTATGTCCCTGGCAGGTTCTTGGTCTCTTTAATGTCTGATTTTTAATTTTGTGAGGTTTGTGGTCTTTTGTGATTTTATTGTTGTATTGTTTTTATGTTGTGTACCTCCTTTAGCAGATCGGATGGGTGACATATATGGTGGTGGAAAGTGCTATCAAGCTACATCTGACTTATGGCAACCCCTTAGGGTTTTCAAGGCAAGAGATGTTCAGAGGTGTTTTGCCATTGCCTGCCTTTGTGTCACGACCCTGGTATTCCTTGGAAATCTCCCATCCAAATACTGAACAGGGCTGACCTTGCATAGCTTCTGAGAGCTGATGAGAACAGGCTAGCCTGGGCTTTCCATGTCAGGGCAGGTGGCATATAAATGTTTTAAATCAATCAGCCAGTCTATCTGGGTTCTGACTTGAAGGAGGAGAAGTTGCTCCTGTGCTTGATCCTCAGAAGAAGGCTTTGTGTTTGTGTCAGATATTTTATTCACTGAGAATGTCTCTCACCTTTGCACTATGAGTACTCGTGTAGCTCTGCAGAAAGAGAGAGAATGATAACAAAATAGAAATAAAAACACAATAACACAATGAATAAAAAAGTGTCAATAAATATACATAAAGACCAGCTGGCAGTAGCTGGAAATCAGAAACGTCAGAGCACGGAAACACAGAACTTACCCACTTCCAAAGGCCTTCTATAATAAACAGATTTTAGCAGAACTCTGGAAGGCCAAGTTGGCAGGAGTCAAATGAATCCCAGGAGACAGAGTTCCACAGTTCAGGGGAAGCAGCAAAGAAGTCCCTGTGCTGCATGCCTCTTGCCCTACTTCTGACAACCTCGGCTCCCAAAGCAGATATCACCAATTGATTTCAAGTCCTAGGCAGGTAAGTTCACATAGGTGGAGGCGGTCATTCAAGTACTTTGGACCAAAACTGCTTTAAGGGTAAAAACAGCCATTTAAACCAGGCCAGGAAATACGCAGAACATCAGTGCAGTTCACAGAACACTGGTCTTATATGCTCATCAGTTAAGACCATGACTCTGGCCATCTTTTGGACATACTGATAATATTAATGTTTCCAGCAATTATTCAAAACCACACCACATAGACCATATTAATCTGCCCTGGATATTACCAAGGTGAGTGTCACTATGGTCAGATGTGTGATGACTGAGTTTCCCCATCAGACTCACTACTGGAATTATGTAGATCCTAATAGAGAAGTTCAACACGTGAGCATCCCTGAAGCAAACTAAGCTCTCTAGGCCTGTCAACCAAAGCTCCTTCAGTTCTCAAGTCTGCTCTGTAGACTATCGTGTGGGAGCACAGTTGAATGGAAATCTCACTGTGTGGGTAAGTTAGAAGAGGAAGGTGTCACTTCACTCAGAGAACTCTACCACGCACAGTGACAACCGAGAAACTGTAATTCAGTAGAAGTTTCCAATCAAATGTCACTTGGCATTCTCTTGCAAGCAACCCTGGCAGCTGCTGGGGCCCAGGGTTTCTGCTGCCAGTGCCCCAATGTGTCCTTTCCCTGCCTGCCCTCTTGCCAGTGCTCCACTGCTTACGCTGCAGCTGTACACACTACCCAGTGCAATCAGGGTGGTGCAGATGGCTGTGATCACAGGTAGTGGAAGGGCTTGCAAGCAAAACAGGAGAAGCATTGACAGGCAGGTAGTGGGATACATTTGTGAGGGGGCAAGAAGGTGGGAAGCATTTCTCCCCCCAGGGCTCCCCAAAATATGGAACCAGCCCCGATGATTTACACATAGCCCCCAATTTATTGTAAAGGATTGTTTTATTATAGTACACATGCAAAATAGTGTGTCTGCATTGTCTTCTCTAATCCTAACCTTGGAGAATGTATTTAAAACACCTCAGCACTAGAATGAAATGTTTAGGACCCAGCATCATCTTCTTTGTCATTTCTGGGCATGGGACAGCAGTCACTGGATGTGTGTGGGGGGGAGGTACTTGTGATTTCCTGCATCGTGCAGGAGGTATGACCCCGGAGGTCCCTTTCAACTCTATGATCCAATTCTCAAGGGAGATGCAAGGAAGGGGAGCATCAAATTTGTCATAAGTGTGGCCCATCCTTACTCAGAGATGGCATCCACACAACCACGGGATTGCCAGTGGCCTCATGCCTCCTTTGACAGGCAGGCATCCATCCATACAAAAGGTCATTGCACATAACGGGAGGGCTGTGACACTTGTGCCTACCACATCCCCCCCCCAGCCCTCTTCTTCCTCTTCGTGCAAGTTGCTCGAGTTCTGAGGTTGAAGTAACTTGTACTCCAGCAGAACAGAGGGCATGGATGAAGATAATGAAAGAGGTACAGAGGCCTTCTGTTTCTCATAATGGACAACACAGAGAGGAGGGCCAGGGCTATGTTGTGATCCTGTTGCATGTAAGTGCTCTGTGCACATTAGGGTGGACTGTGTCCCTTGCGCTAGCATCATATTTATAGGGAATTGAGATTTGTTCATCTCTGTTGTAGCCATGTTGGAGGCAAGCTGGTTAAACATGTTGACACACTCAGTTCAGTGCTGTGGGAAAAAATGCATTTTCTTCCTGTGGTGAAATTCTTTAAAATTTATTTTTTATTTTAGTTCTTTCTTTCCCTCCACAGCAATAAGGCATTTTAACTATTTCACTTTTTGAAAGTGAGCCCTTCTCAGTTCCTCAGAACTGAAGCTATCTATTTCAAGTAGGAAGTCAGAGCAACTCTGCAGCAACTTAAGAAAAACCCTCTTGGCTTCCTGGAAACCGAAAAAAAAAAGGTGGCGTTTTTTAGAGAAGTGGATAAAATGGTCTCTGACATCACTTGGCTCTACAGCGTAACAGCAAGTGGTTAGTCTTGGGTGTCAGAGGAAGCTGCTCTCTGGATGATAAGGCGGCTTTGCAATGTATGTGCCTAGCATATTCCACATTTGATTTGGATGTTGGCGAGAAATCGACACAGAGATAACACTTATTTTGCTTTCCAGAGACAGACACACATGCTGTTTTGTAAGGATACTTCTGATACCTGGATATAACCATGTTTTTGTGGTTTAAAGTCTTGGTGTTTGGCTTGGCCCTTGTGGACACGGACGCTGTCGATAACGGTAGGTAACCACTGCTCATTTGTTCTTTTTGGTACCACAAATAGCAGGCGTGCCATGTAATAACTTTAGATCCAGGCCCACAAAAATACCACAGAACAGCGAGCAAACTTTTGAATTTTCCAGAACTCTTCGTCTGGTTGGATGTTTGGTGCAAAATACGAGAGAGGGACGGGGGGAAGAAGTTTCAGGGCATAATGAGAACTACCTGGTTTGTGGCTTGTGCAGTTTTAAAATGGAGTAGAAGATGTGATGGAAGTTTAACTGGATTAAGTGATGTTGGTATCATCTGAGACTACTGGGCCAAATAAGGCATACTCCCTTGAAAAATATAAAACCCTAGAGATAATAGGGTGTATCTCCAGCAACCCAGTAACCACTTCTTGAAATCAAAATCATGTTGAATCATTAAAAGGCCCAATGAATTTCATCAATTCTTCAGCTGCCATTGATGGTGTGAAAGGTTAGATATAAGTATTTTAATAAATAATATTTTAAAACATTTACATTCCTAGGAAGCCTGAGGTGCTTTGGAAGCATAAAAGGATTTCCTTGATAAGCACGTTAATGATGGTCAATTAGATGCTCTGAATAGTGGTTTGATTATCACTGCTGATGCTTTGGGAGCATTTTAAGCCATGCTCACTATTTGGATCCCTGCTCTTTGGGCATGGTCCAGAATCCTATGCAATATCTTCCTGAGCAGACAAGTCAAAATATTTTTCAGAAGATATGACACCTAAAAACTACAGCTCCAAACAGGTTTGTACAGACAACTTCACAGGGAGCTCTCTCATCTCAGTGTAACTTGGTCCCAAAACCATGCAGTTAGGTTTTCCATACCATACATTATCTTGTGTTTGTCAAGGCTTACCTGCATTATCCTGCATTGCTGCAACCCCCTCACCCCCCGGAGGAATGTGCTTCTGAAAGCAGCTTGCAAGGGTTTTCTTTCAATTACATCTTTAATTGCATTAGAATTTTTAAAAGAAATGCTAACAGAACTGAGACTTGGTTCCTTATTGAGAAGACAGCCTGACTAACTTCTTTTCGGTGACTCCATACATATATATGTATCACCCCAAAGGCTAGTTATATATTTATGTTTAACAACCTGTTCTGAGGCTTACTTAAAAATATTATAGCCGACTGTAAAAAGGACTTCTCTGTTAACTTCTGAGCCACTCCCTGATCTCAGATCCTGTATTTAGTTCCTCAAATTTCAAGCTCCACTGCACCACAGATTGTCTTTTAAATATTGAGTTAATCTGATATTATCAAATAGTTGGATAATATTGAATAGAATTGTAGCTGTCAAGAGAATACTTGATCGTCAGTGTTATAATTAGTGACACAGTGTTTCTACTTTAGAAAACAAAGCCTTCCTACCTTTTGTATTGCCACCCCAACCTAGAAGTTTCATAAGGTGTTCAACTCCTACAGTCCCTATACTGAATTTTTAGCAAATCACCAAAGCTTCCTGCAAAATACATGGGGGGAAAATGATGGAGGATCTCAGTAGCCCCAGTTCCCTATTATCCTCAAGACTTAAATATCTGAGAGCAGAACTAAGATCAGCGTACAGTTGGGCCCAACCCCATATGGTCCAGCTAATAGGAATTCAAGGGCCGCAGAAGGGAACATTCAAGATAACATTTATGGGCAGTATGGAGGTATGCTTCTTTTGCCCTGCACCTGCTTGTTCTTTCCTGCAAGTGCTCCCAGGAGACTATTTTTATCCCAGCAGAATTAACTTCTGGTTTAAGAGCCCACCTGGGTAGCAGAGGGGTGGGGAGGGGATGGAACCTGTGAAAGGTGAAGCACAGTACTCCCATCTGCTTTTTCTCCTATGCAAGTCCACCTCCCCCCACCCCAGTCTCCGACTAAAGCAAGGACTTGGGAACCCCTGTTTCTCTGGTAACATTTAGTGATCCCTTGAAGAGGCCTCACTGGTCTCAGCTACTGCCAAACGTGGTTGAGTTTACATCATTTGGAGACTTTACATTTAAAAACATAAAAATGGAGAATGAGGGAAGAATTCCTGATCCCACCATTAATGTTTTATATACAATGACAGCATCTATTTGAGTTGTTTCCACTCTACCTGTTTAGACTGCAGGAGATACCTGATGCTGACTGAGAATCCAGACAATGTTGCTGTTGTGAAATTGTATCTGCATTTTCTCTGTGTGGTTTTTTGGGTGGTTTTTTTTTTTTTAAATGTTTGGGGGGTTTTTTAAAATTTAAATTGTAATTGTAGTCCACATGTGGATTGACAAAACGACATTATTAGGACTATAGTCCCCTTAAATTTTCTTCCTGCTCTTCATGTTTTTAGAACAACATCTGCTGCTTTCAGCTAATTAATAGCTTCTTAAATCTTAACCAGTTCTTGTTGTGATAGGGGAGGGAAATGAAGATGCTTTAATTAATGCCTTTCTCTCAATATTTCATTTATTCTTTTTTTGTTGTCAAAACAGCAAAATTCAAACATGAAAAATAAAATAAAATTAATGAAGAATCCCTTTAGCTCCAAAGGGAAAAGCAGTAATTAGCCCCCCCCCCAGCAGCAGCATGCCCCCAAAGTAATTAAGGATCCATTCAGGGTTCATGGGTGGATCCATGAGGGGCCACCATGAGGTAACAGGAAGCAATTAATTTAGCACCACAATTAGATGCCCCACTATGAAAAAAGAGGTAAGAGCTCAGACAGCTGAGGGCAGTAAGCACAGATCTTGGTCCATGCAGGGAAGGGAGAGAGGACTAAACTCTGCAACTTCAACTTGATTATAGTATTAAAATTTGTCTGTGCTATTCCACTATTAGTATTTTAAAGGAAAAAAGGTTTCCTTTTAAATGCATATTTCCCCCTGTAAAATGCTTAATAAGGCAGGGAACTCAATTTTGATTAGCAACACCAAGTGGAAGTTAAGAGGTAAAGCCCCTCTTCCTTCCTTACACAACCCTGAGGCAAACTGAGGCTACACAAGCCTGCAGATTGCATTTTATAGAAGGACCAAGATTAATTTTTATAGAAGGACCAAGATTAATTTGAGTGATCTGTATGAGCCCTGCAAAAGGCCAGTTGCAAAGGGAAGTTGAACCTTTGTTGAACTGGATTTACTGATTTTATTTCTAAGTAAAATAATAATAGAGTCATGCTTACGGGGACAGATATTGCTGGGTTTTTTATTGGGCAGATAACAGTGTATCAAATGTATAATGGAGTCCTCATTTCAATTCTACTTATAGCACATTGTGGGGGAAAAGTCTTTCAGCAGTGTGAAAGTCTCATAGTGTGGAAACTGTCTGCACCAACAAAATTTACAGTCATCATTGTTAGCTTTCTGAACTTATTGTTTTCAGTAGCTTTTAGATTTCTTTGTGTTTTTTTTAAACTGGATATCTTCTTAACTAAACATAACTGCTGTCTATGTCTTGTAGAAATGACCATCTTAGAGAGGTACACAAATTTTGCCTTCATCTTCATCAGTCTGGCTGTTCTCTAGATTTATTCTTCAGCATTTATGTATGCGAAAGTCAATGCATACATTTACTTAAAATTATTGTCAAAATAGCTCTTGAGAGCAGCTGGTAGGTAGGTAGCCATTGGATATAGTATATGAAAATGACCAGGTCTTGAACCGTAAAGGCCGAAGAACAGAATTCTGTTTTGTGCATTTCTTTGCTTTTTTTCTCTTCATTTTTATAACTGACTTTCTCCAGTTGCCTGCTGTTCTCTTTTCTTTAGCAAGACTAGGCCAGTGTCTGTCTCTGCAGCCCACTTCTATTGTTACTTTATGCAATGTCTAACAGAGAAGGCATGGAAAGGGGTTGGAAGGGAGGGTGTATGACAATAGTTTTCTTCAAAAGACAGATTTTCATCCCCTTTGTCTGCATGAGGCAGCTGCCTAAGGCATGTGCTATCCTAACTAATTGTTGCTATAGAAATCCTGCAAGGGACAAAGATTGAGGAAATGTTCCAGTGCTGAAATAGTATGATATTCTTTTGCAGCTGTGAGGTAGGTAAGAAGATAGTTTCTATTGCTTACCATCTCTTAAGGGAATTTTTTAATGTTGTGTGCACGTGTTCTTAAGCAGGTCAATCTGCTTTTCAGTGAGTGTGTATATTTTTGCAGTCTCTAAAAATAATCCTTTCCCCAGATTGTTCCATCTATACATTTTTATCCCATCTTTCCTCCAAGGAGTTCAGTGTAGAATATGTGGTTATTGGGGTGGACTGGCCATTTAGCTTACTTAGAAATCTCCCAGTGGGCTAGTGATCTAGAGGGCCATTGGTGGCCCGGTATAAGCACAGCCAAGATGCAGCAAACTGTACCAGTGTTTCAGGCACACCTTGGCTCATATAATCAGCAACACTTCATGATGTCATTGTCTCTTGTATTGCTGGATGAGCTGGAGCTGCTGGGATGAGTGGCCCCTGCAGCCTGGCTTGTAGTGCCACAAAGGCCTTCTTCCAGGGCTGCTTTATTTCCCAGCCCTTCCACCTCCAGTTTAACCCCCAGAACAGCCCTTGAAGAAAGTTAGGCTGAAAGAGAGTTACTGCCTCTAGGTCACCCAGCAAGAATCATGGCAAAATGGGGACTTGAATCTGGGTCTCTCCAGTTCTCCCCCAACACACTAACCGCTGTGCTGCGCTGGATATTCTATGGGACAGAGGTGCCTGTGTGTGTATAAGTGCACAGAGCCATGTCACCCTCCCACCCCACTCAGCTTTCCATCACCTGCATTGAACTTTGCATGCCTAACATGGGGGATACAAGACTCCAGACCCACCTAACCTTCTGTTATTAAATAAAGAAAATATATAGAAGAAAATAGCCCAAAACATTTTGATCTGTGTAATTTTCTTTCCTAACTTTTTCCTCTCTTTTTGGACCAAAAGTGCACATGCATTTTCAGGAGTGTTAGTGATCACTCAGGAATCTTCCCTGTGCCAGTTAATGTACTTTGCCACTAGTCACAAAGTATGGCATTACCAC